GATTAAAATTAGGTAGTTTTTTTTAAGAGACACACTGTTTGTCCAACTGTTAAGTGACGGATTTGAGTAAGACAAAGTAGTTTGAGGGAGTAAGCTTTTTTGTTATGGGAAGCTGAGCTATGCCAAGCCATATGCGTTCACAAAAAAATGGCTTTGGCTCACGTAATAATTAATTGTAAGCCTTGAGCACTTCTGTTATACAATTCTTTTTTGGTTCAGCGAAACTTTTTCTTAAGCCGATAGTTAAAGTATGGTGCTGACGAGAAGTGAAAAAACGTCTAGAAAACGTTCTAAAAAATGGAATCCGCCCCTCGACGAATGCCATTATTTCGACCTTTTCCACACGATTTGCGTTTGATTGGCTATAAAACAATATTCACTTTTGCGGACTGAATACAGTCAGTACTTTGTTCGCGGGATGATCAACTGTCATACAGCGAAAATTGATTGAATTTCGCCAAGCTCAAGTCAGTTGTTTTTTGCGCTGTTGGCGCTCTTTGCGGTTGTTCCATTCAATGAAATGGAAAATGGAATTGTAACAGATGCCAAAACAAAAATGACTTTTTAGTTTCGATTCCCATTATTTGTCCCGGCTCGCCGCTGAAAACGATCCCGAAAAACCCTATTGCCGAGTTCGGAACGAAACTAATTAAAATCATTTCATTGAATGAATTTCTCAAACGGCATTAAGAATGTATGAATATATCAGCCCAGATGGGCTGGCACACGAACAGAGCGACGTGAACATTTCAACGTTTCTTGCAAAACAAGATGGAAATGAATATTTCATTTGTAATAATTAAACAATGGTGCATGTTACGGGCGTGCCAGCCACATTCATTCACACTCCGAGTTTAAGGAACAAATGAGATGAACGGACCATGCATTATGAAAAGAGAAACCACTAAGTTGCTGCTGTTTTTGTTTCACGTTCCTCGCCTCACTCGTTTCAATATCAAATTCATTTTTTCCTTTGTGTCCGTGCGAAAAATAAGAAAATTGAATAGAACCTTTCACAATTTTAAATGCTCTTCTGAATAAAGATTGGACATAGCGCATTGTAACAACTGGTTTTAATTCGTAAGCTAGACGTAATGAATGAAAATCAGTTTTTCGCTGAACAATGATGATACAGCAAATTTATTAAGGAAGCGTACAATTTATTTATGGCCAGTTGGTGGATAATCAGAGAGAAAGAGAAGGAGAAAGAGAAGGAGATAGAAAATGTTTACGATTCATTGCAAATGAGTCATTTGAAATGACCCAGAGGGAGGAAAAAAAATCATAAATTGGTTGAATCGACATACTGAATGATCATTATAAACAAATAAATTGAAAACGGATGCAAGAGTCCCAGAGAAAGAGATACAAAAATGGAGAACGATGGAGGCAGGTACATCGGAAGGGAATCGAGGATAAAAGAAGAGAGTAAAGAAGAGAGAAGTACTGAAAATCAGTTTTCAGTAGTAATTCGCTCCTTGCTAGCGCCTCAGTACAACAACAAATATATTTGTCCATAATTTAGTAGTGCTTTCGGACAATAGTATTAGCCACAATAGGGTAGAGAATGCAGAATGCGCTTAACCTTCAAACCGTCAAACCTATTTTCTAACGTTGTTCGTAAAACCGGTGCCTGAGTGCCCATAATGCATTTTAAAGGGAAATGTCAGTTTTTTCTTGAATTTTTATTTTTAAATGTAAATATTTCAGTATTTATTGATCGGAAAAGTATGAAAATCACTTTGAAATGTGATAAAAGTCATAAAAAATCGAAATATGAAAGACAACAGCAAGTTTTTTAGAATTTTTTTTAATAAAGTGGAGATTGCAATGTTGATCTATTCACAAAAATGAAGGCAAAAACATATACATACAAATTTAACTATGGCCGATTTTGACGTCAAAAATTGAGATTATGAACGGCAGGTTGGATCAAAAAGTTATGTACAGTTACTCACAAAATTGTTCGTACACCTTGCTTTTCCGAACAAAATGCCATTTTTTCATTAATTTTCGTGACAAATGAATTGTATGAGCACATGATTGTAAAAGACTAACTCTTTTAGCAGATATTCATGTATATATTTGACATAAATATTGAACACATAAAAAAATTGGGACCAAATATGTGGAAGTGTCGCTTTTTGGGTCTCACAAAAATGATTCCAAATTCGGTTCACTGTAAATATATTGGATATCTACTGAAAAAATGCCCATAAACTTCAGTGTACTAACAATTTTGTGATCCTCTACCATCAATTTGACACATTGGTTATAGCAAAAATATCACTCTCTAATCCAGATGGCGCCACCAAAATAGTGAAATGTCGAAAATGGTCCATTTTGCTAGTCACCACCCCAGAATATAGCACTCACATTATTTTTTACCACCCAAATCTGCTTGAACGCATTGAATACCTTAAGATCTTCGACATTTAGTATGACTTTTCCCATTTTTTCAATAATACTGGTTCAT